AGAAGAAAGAGAAAAAACATGTGGGATAACATGCTGGTTACAAAAATTAAAATTAAAATTAAAATTAAAAATCGTCAAACTTTTGAAAACCTAGAAACGTCTCAAAAAAAAGATATAATAGAAAACAAAAGAGGTAATATTGTCTTAATTATTTATGGGGATGTTAATGTAAACTGTTTAAAAAAATAGATAGTGGGTGTATTAATTCTTATATCTTTTTTAAGTTAACCGGGCCAATTAATTAAACATATAATGCATTCAATAAAAAGAAAATGAAGCCCAATATCTATATCAAAAATGAAAAGAATGTCCGCGCATTGACAAAGAATTTACCGGTTAAACTATCCCTTTAATTCAGCCCAAATTTATACCAGCAAATTAATTTCGGCTAAAATATTTTAATTGTTCTGCATCGAACAGTCTGTGTATTTTCAGTGAAAATTATCCAACGGTTGTTATCCTATCAAGAGAGATATAAATAGAAATCACACCCCGATATTAAGGGTTCATTTTTTGCTCTCTGTTCGCTTCCCTTCGATTTTGTAGGATTTCTGTCTAAAAAATTTAAGCACTTGCTACGTTTGTCTTTTAAAATTTTATTACTATTATTGTACTGAAACTGCCGAGTTTTATTTGTGGTGTTTTATATCTCCGTCTTTGAATTTTTTTGTTAGAGCTTAAAACTGTAAGTTTTGTACTGGGACTTCCGATTTTGTGATATCTCAATGTATGTTTTGTTCGATTTACAATTTCTAATAATTGTCTTTTGATTTTTTATCTTCATTTGAGCACATCGTCCGATTAGAAGGGGAATTTGACGGCGAAACTGAAGGTTGCCTGTCGATCTGAGGTACACCGTTCGTCAGGTTCAAATCCAAGATGTTGAGCAACAACATCGATCGACAACTACACAAAGGTTCGTAATTTTCGAACTTAGATTTTCGAATCGACCATAAATCTCACTTGTACTGTATAGATCTATTTTATTGTATACTATTCCTTAATTATTATGTTCGAAGTCCAAATTTTTCTTACAATTAGATGTTGAATCAAAAGGGCAAAAAATAAAATTCGGAGTTAGAGCGGCCGTCCGGTTCAAATCCAAGCTAATGAGCAAGAAATTGATCGTCGTCTACTAAAGGTTAGTAAATATTTGATATAGGTTCATTTCTTTTAGATCTAACTATTGTTTATTGTATTTTGTTCGATAAGCAAATTATTTTTTCAAAAGCAAACCGTCATGCTCGAGCATTTTTTCAAGTGAACTCGTTTCGTTTTTAAAAAAATTGTATTTTCTTTAAACATGTTGTTCATAAATCCTTATTTAATGTATGTATAGAATGCAAACATGCTAGATTAAATTGAAAATCCATGAAAATAAGGAAATATAATGTTAGACCGTATATTTATGTAAATTCTAACCATTTTTTGTAATTGTATGTTTGTATATGATGTAAAATTGAGTTTTATCTTTATTATTGACATTATTGTTACTAAGCATGTGTATTTTGTTGGTGCAAAATGCATGTACTGGAAGCACTCAACCATGAGTAAACAAATACATGGCCAAAGAATCATTAAACACAAATAATCCCAATATGATATGTTGTCAGTATGTTTTGCATAAATTTATATGAAATATCATTTTCTAAACTATTAATTAGATATTAAAATTGTGACCTTGGAATATATTTTTTTGATTAGCTGTTTTGCTTCGCTTGTTGAATCCTTGATTATCTGGTGAACTACCATTTGTGTTTCCATCTGAATCATGCAAAGACTCTTTCAGTTAAATATTAGACATGTTATGTATCTGAAAATATTAGACATGGGTTTTACAAAATTCTTATTTTTTTCCTGTATCTGAATGAATGAAAAAAATCTGTAATATAATTTATGGCATACATGATGATATGAATTCTAAAAAGGCTTTTAATCAATGGTTACTACCAATATTTAAATGCTTACCTTGGAATCTGTTTCCTTCAGTGGCTTTTTTACTCCTTTTGTTGAATTCCTTATGTGTTGAACTGACTGTATCTGATTTCAACAAAGTTTCTGTATATGAATTGATGGTTACGTTATGCAGCGGTTTATGTTATAGTAAAAATTAATAAAATATTAATCAAGTTATGAGGATACTCTAAATATCTGGGCCCAAAATTACAAAAAGTGCATCAGTTTTTTAAGCATTTTTCCTTTTCATTGACAAAGTTGAAACATGGCTACGTATATACACCTTTATATGATGAAAATTTATTTAAGCACATGTACTAAATTACCAACTGAAGCACGAATGCTTGCGTTGTTTCTTCTAATCCGTTTCTTGAATTCTTTATCTGCCGACTCGAACCCATTTTTCTGACGGCATCTTTGTTCATTGAAGCCACTCCAATTCTGCTAATAAAAAAAAACAATGAATTGATTTTACGAAACTAAAATCAAATGTGAAAGAATACAATGAATTGATATATAGGGGTTGTACACGGTTAAACTAACTGCGGTCTTCAATTGATATTTTATGAAAGGCCTTGAAGAGTTTATGTGAACATAACACGTGAAGTTATCAATGGGAGAGTCATCTTTAATAGAGAGAATATGGGATAGTTAGCTATATATGGGCATTAAAATCTCTTAATAGAGAATATATGACAAATCATGAATGGTCAATGAAAAATGATTTTTTGAAATCTTTAACAAATTTAGAGAATTAGATATGGTTAACATTTGAAAGAACCGCATCTAAATTATTCAGTGATTTTTTCCATTTGGCATGTGATATTGAACCTTTTTATATGTGTTATATTTTTATTTTATGGGTGTATTTCTCAGTACTAATATATATATTTTTTTCGATGCAGAGGAAAGCAAACGGGTTTGCAACAAAGTTATAGACTATATCAAATCTGCAATTTTTCGCCAAAAAGAGAACAATTTTATAAAATAATGTGTTTCATTTATTCAACTGGTTATTTATTTACATATTTTTATAACTTTCAATTTATTTGTAGGTAAAGTTGAATGGTTAATTTTTTAATTAGTCACGTAATTAGAAAATCATTGTTAAATACAATAATGAAATATGATTTTTGTTATCGATTAGTTAAATTAGACTAAATAAAATGATCTTGCAAGAAATGAATGATTTGAATATCAAATACTTAAATACCATTTATTTTTCAACAAAACTCTAAAAAATGAATGATTTGAAATTTTCAACCCATATCTCTTGGCACACGTGAAACCAAATCTTAGATCAGTTATTTTTAAGCAAAACTTTAAAAAGTAAATGATCTAAAATTGCCAATCCAAATCTCTTCGCATACGTGAAACCGGATTATGCCTTCCCCGATGATCTCTCTTCTGGGACATATAAAATAATGATTTGAAATTTCCAATCCAAATCTCTTTGCACCTTATATAACATGTTTCCTAAATAATTGGCTTACCAATTAATGAGATTTCCACAAAAGCACGTGAGAAGTTTGTTGTCGATAATTACGGATAGGATTTTGATAAGATATTAAAGCGAAAAATTTTCAGATGCAATATGGATTGATTTTAATACCCGCGCGTAAAACTTTAGGATTTGAAAGGATTTTTAAATTGGTTTCCACAATTGGGAAGTCAATGGTCTTGTTGACCAATTTCTTAAAAGTTTCCGCAAATGATTTATTGACCTCTCTTTTTCAATATACTAGTGTAGTCCCGTGCGCTGCACGGCGGGTTTTTTTTCCTTAAACCCTTTTCTCTAAATTTTATTTTAAATATCTTTCCTTAATGAAAATTTGATTATAATGAGAAAAACAGAAAGACAAAGTATAAAAAAAATTATATATTATTAAGCACTTCTCTATACACATCATTGTTTGTTTAATCACGCAAAGTGAGAAAACTTCTAAACAAAATTGCTTCATCGATGTTGTCTATATCACGCAAACTTCTAAACAAAATTGCTTCATCGATGTTGTCTATATCACGCAAAGTGAGAAAACTCCTAAAAGAGAATCGATACAACCCTTTATTTTATAAAAATCGGTTCCCCATGAAGTATGATATGATATTTGCCAACAATTTATTTGTAATTACCAATATTGGTCTCCACGTGATAATTATGAAAGGCATAAATTTCTCCATCCTTAAGCTCGTAAATGAACTTAGATATGTGAACAAGCCTTATGAAACCGGTTATCCGCTCACCTAAAAAACAACGAATTACAATACTATAAACGAAAAAAAAAAAACGAAGTTGATAATAGAAATAAATGACAAACCTCATTGTCAGAAAAATCAACTCAAACACATTTTTGTAAGAAAAAATTTCGGACGTTCGTTGAAAGATGTTCCACTAAAAGGAGATTGGGTAAAACGTCTTGTAAAAATGAATTGATAAGGATATAGTTAATAGTTAATTAATCACCAAGAATAAATATATATATTAACCAATAAATAATGCTATAAACAATATAGCACATATATTGATGAATATCTATGAGTCTAACAATTGTTCTTATTTATTAATATGAATACAAACATATGAACCAGATTAAAAAAAAAGTATTTATAAGGTATGTATTTAGTGATCTATGATATATTAAGTGTTTTATGATAATTGAAATAATAATTATAAATTATAAGAATAATCAATTAATACGTAACATAATTTATATGCTTGTGTTTAAGCCCAAAGTATTAAAATGGCTATACATAGACTACTAAAGGAGCTGAATATGCCTTATTTCTAAAAGCCCATAAAATATCATACTATCATATAACATATAAAGGGCCGATTTATCTCAATTTTTTTTTTTTCTGCATAAAATAACAATTTCGGGAACGCATGACGTGTTAGCACAACACACCCATTTAGAATTGACACCAACTCAATTTTCTCCTATTCCATAATTTTTGTCTGAAAATCAAATCGGGCAAACCTATCTGTTCTATATTTACATTAATTCTCGTATTTTCATTTGTTCTGGCCAACCCATTCGCCAGATCTACAAATCCGGCCAATTCCTGAGGATAGCGGGAGCTTGTGGTTGACGATGGCTCCAGCAAGCGATTCAAAGGAAGACCGCTCCATTTTGTCGGAAAGGTAATGCCTCTTCCCATTTTCTTTATTTAGCTGATTCTTTTACCTGATCCCGACCACAGAATCGGCAATTCATCGCAGATTGGCGCGACTCGTGGTGCAATTCAGACCCCACGTTCGATAGCCCGACCGGTTTCGAAAAATCACTCACCGGCCAAATATGTTAAAGTTGGTCTAGTCGAGATACAAAGTGGGATCGACATAGGTAATTTTAAAATCCAGCATGAGTTAGTTGTTTTAATAACTTAAAAGCCTTCGTAATTTTGCAGATTTTATTAAAAAAAATAAATTAGATGTTAATGTTTAATTTGTAAATTTCATATGAATATATCGATTTTATAAAATAGGAGTTCATCGAACCACATTTCATAAACACAAATATTGCCTGTATGTTACAAATGGATTCTTATGTCCAACTCTTTAATATCTACAGTATAAAAAAAGAAAAAACAGTATGTTGTAGTTATTAACAATTTGATTTTTATGTAGACTCTTTAAAAATATGTGGTGTGCATGTTGTTTGTTTTTAAAGGATTTGTTTTGTTTATGCTCCGCATGAATAATGTTGTTCATAAGCTTGATTTTTTTGTCTTTAGTATCATCTTGTATACCAGAATGTTATATATATTTATATAATCTTATATAATAAGATAACCTAATGAAAGTCAGTAGTTGTGTGGCTTCTTAATTCTCCATCTAGCATATTTGTTCTTTTTAGTTTTCCCTAAAACATCATGAAAGTCAGTAGTAAACGGATAATAAAAGAAATATAAACAAAGCTAAAGAAGACGAATTGGTGTGTATTTTACCGTTGGTTAATAAATGATACTCTAAGCAATTGAAGATATATTTATAGAAGATGGATTTATGTGTTAGATAAGCACGTGTCTTATCTATTGAGATAGAGATAAGCATAAACTTGATATATGCAGAGATGAGCATAACAATTCAACATATACTATTATAGATGATAAACCCAAATCATGAATTTATATGGATAAGATATACATCTGTCATGGATTAGTATGTTAGAGATAAGTATTTAAGGTTATCATGAAGATTTATTTAATATTTTCCACAATAGAGTTGACATATACATTTTTTTTTTCAGCTACAATTTTTGTAGATTCTCGATATATAAACATAAAAGGTGCATGATTCATTTAAGATTTTCCATATAATAGAGCGGTGACATTCTATTATTTATTTAGCATAATATGTAGATCATATCATACAATAATAATGTTCCACTTATTGGTGCTTACAATTCGTATCACATTATTATTAATATATGATATGAGATGATATATAAAAAATATATATTATATATAATATTCCGTATATTATCCAAATAAGAAACATGTTGGCGCATCTTCATCTAAAATTTAGAATCCTACATCTCCTACAAAATACTTTTATAGGAGATAAGTTGACTTTTATACATATGACCACCTCGAATTTTTAGGTAATACCAGAAAATATTTTATATGGAATATCTAAAAAGTATCTTTTTATCCAAGTATAAAAGATGTATTATGATTTTCAAGATTTGGTCAAAGAAAAAATGTAAACGATAATACTTGTCTCTTAAAACTTTCTGTTTTTTTTTTTTTTTAACAGGCATTGGTCAACATTTCAATTTTCGATGAGCATCTCCACAAGCCTCAAATGCTAGTTGTGATCGCAGTGGCAATACGTGTATTATTCATATGTTTGTGAATCTTTTGGCGATTTTTTTACAATGTTTGTAAGTGTGAATATTATATGGATTTGAATGATAATTAGTTTTAAAATTATATTTGAATGATAATTAGTTTTAAAAATAATTTTAATTGTGATAATGAAACAAAAATAGTAAAAACCATACAAATTTTCATAAGCGAAATTGTCTATTTAAAATTAGTGAACTATTTGATTAAATTAAATAAAGTAATAGTTTTTTATTTGCACAACAAAATGGGAAAATTAATCTAATTGCTTAAATTATCTAAAATCGTTCATTTTTTTTATTAGGAAGACAATCAAGTTTTAGTTATGTTTCTTAAAAGGATAAAGATCATAAATTTTTGTTACACGTCCTATTTTATCTCCAAATCGTGAAATGCTCCGATATTATTTTCAAAGAGTGGAAATAAACAGTCCAAAATTTCAAATTCAATTTAACAAATGTTAATCTTTAGGCGGGATATTAAATCTTTTCAACAAATCTTTTCTCATTATAGTAAACTTTAAGCGGGAATTGATATCTTTTTTTGCTGATTTTTTAGTTGATTTTTTTAAACAACTATCATTCCCTCTTTATATATTAATAGATTTTTTTGGTCCTCACCCTCGACTCTGAACTCTCTTTATCCTATGTTTCTCACTCTTTGTTCTTCGCGATGCAAATCTCTCTTTGACCTTCAATCGATCGTTTGTGAGGCGTGAAGGAGAGCCGTTACTCCGTCATCCTTCAGCCGTACAGCTGCTGCATCATCGTCTCCCCCTCTCTTCCATTGCAGGCCCTTTGTGTTTGTGGTGCCTTGGGCGATTCCTTCTGCGGAGGAGAGGGCTTCACAATTTAGGTCGGGCTGAGTTCGACTGCACTCATACGACGCCATTTCACACAAAAAGAAAAAAAAAAACCCTGTCGGGCGTTCACAACTCAGATCTAATTTCATCGCCAATTTTGACAGCCCTTTCACATACTCTCAAATTCTATCTACGATTCCTCTTTGTGTGCGGCTGTGGATCAAATTAGGTAAGAAATTTTTAATCTTTTTGCATTTAGGTTCAAAATTTTCTGCCTTATTATTATTATTTTTCTTTTTTTTTTTAAGGTTTTCGTGTTTTCTGAAATGGCTTCGAGAGTGCGAGAATGACCTCTTTCTTATTTTTTTTTTGTCTTCTGGGTATTTAGTGAGTTAATGTGTTTGCCGTTTAAAGCAAAACTTGATATATATTGCTTGACTACAAAGTACTTTGCCAAAACTGAAATTTTATATTTTTATGGTGTTCTGCTACTTATGAATATAATGAAAGTATACTTATTTGTTAGTTTTTTGCCCGGCTGCATGTAGGATTGTTTTCTGTATGCAACATAATAATATAAACTTTGTTTTGTTGTATTTATTAATAGTAATTTCATTTTATAATAAATTTTCTTGCTTTGCTGAAGTTTAAAGGTGTACATGGATTTGCTGCGTGTTCTATTTCGGCTGAACAATTGCAAATTGGATAGAATGGACTGTGTATAACCTTCTTGTTATTCACCCAATATTTCTTTCATTGTCTGTATGTTTGTGTGTGAAAATATTAACGCATTAAAATATTTTCGTAATCCCCTCTTAATATAATTTGAAAACGTGCTGAGCCTAAATGGCTGGCTCGCACGCTTCGGAAGCTTACTTGGCAACATTACATGCTTCGGCTTTTGGTTCGGATAAAAATTAATACAATTAGATTCCCCTCCTACTCCAAAAAAATAAATAGGATTCACAAATAAATAGGATTCTTATCTTATATGCCGTGTAAATAATATTTTTTTCTTAATAATCTCTTTCTCGGTCTGGTTTTTCATAATCTCACGCCACCTTCACTTTCAACCCCACGCCCATCGTTGTGAGCAAATCTACTTTTTAATCAACACATTTAATCGTTTTTGTTTTTCCAGTGATTAATTGATTAGCCGAGGATGAATTTCTTGTTGTCTATCATATAAATTTCAACTACTTTGTTTCTGAATTTATTGAAGCATGTCTATATATATATACGGACTGTGTAATATCTATGATCTTATGTGGCTAAGCATACTCATGTTTCATTTGAAGTGTTGCCTTTCCATGTTGATTTTTGTTCTAATTGTGATTGTATACTTATGGACGGGCTTGATTTTAGTTTAATATTGATTTGGATATATGGATTGTTGGACATGTGTTGAAGAAAGCGTAGTTTACTTTATTTTGCTTTTTCCATGTTGATTTTTTTTTTTGTTAGTGGAATTTATGCCTCTTTGAGTACCATGGCTCATTTACGGGAGATTAAAAACCCGGGAGGTGGTTCGACATATTATCAGAATCCGAAGGCTGATTTTGTTCAGCTTCCACGGGATGTTAACTGTTAAGGTCCGTTTCAATTTTAATTGCACAATTTGTGTTTTATTCTGTTTTGCTTAATCCGATCTCCTCTAAAATTATATATTAATAGTTAATACAATAATACAATTATATTTCTCGGCTTTTGGTTCGGATAAAAATTAATACTATAGGCTTGAAAATTTTGTGTTGCGATAAGGATGGAAAAACTATAAATAATTATTAATGTTGTGTACAAAGAAATTTTTCAAAATTTGAAATAATATTTTGATATTTTCTATTTTTGCACTTTTATATGACAACATGTGTTTTTTCTATTATTTTATGTTTTATATATTTTTTTTTTTCAAACAACCCGTGTAGTACACGGGTGTCGTACTAGTTATATATGAAATGATAATTTTAGGTACACCGTAATTTTAGATTATATTTGGGACAATCAAATAATTTTTTTCACTTATCTACATAAATTTTTTTCTCACTTATCTACTTATTTATGTGCTTTGCTTATAATGAACAGTGAAATTTACTAACTATTTTGTAGGTTAAGGTTGTACTTTTTAAGTTCCAGACTGGTGTTTAAGGAACTTTGGATTCTATAAGACATAATAAAAGAAAAATCTACTTTCTTTGTTGCTACTAGATTAATGTATTGTTCCTCGCAACCACTTTCCTTATTGTTTTGTTTCAGTCCTACAAATAGAAATAGGATCAGAAGCATAAAAAAATCTTTTGTTCTTATTTTTTCATATTTTACATCAGTTATTTACAGTTTTTATTTCATTATGATTGGTTATTTTGTTAAATTTAACCTTTTTGAGTACTATTTTATATTAAATTTAACCCATCATTTACTATTTTGTTAAATTTAACCTTTTTGAGTACTATTTTATGTTTGCCTGTGAGGGTTAATTGATGTTATAAATTAATTTGTTTGGATTGTTGCTCAAAATCGATCTGTGTAGGCATAGGAGAATGAATCGGATAGGGTTACTACTTCGATGTTCTGTATCGAAACAAAATATATATTGAGTATCTTATATATTTAAATTTTCAGCAAGTGTTTATCATTGAACACATGACTATGATTTTAGATCCTAAATGATGGATTGGAATGGAATTGACAAAATAAGGAATTGACTATGATTGATGTTGTTATTTTCTTTATATATATATAATTCTATCAAAGAAAAAAATATTTATATTGCTAGAGATGATAAAAAAAAAAAATATCAGATATAAAACTAAAATCTTTATAACGAGTTATGACCTCATTCGTGGCCATTTGTTGATTACTTTAATTTAGGGGTTTGATGTATATTTAGTAACATCTTTTGTTTATGGTTTCAATAAATTACTTCCTTTATTATTTTTCATTATTTTTTTATTACAAAAAAATATTTTTTCGTTGGAAATAAAAATTCTAACGTGGGCCGGCCGTGCCTTGCACGGTGATAGCCTGCTAGTAATAATTATAATTATGTTGATATAAATAAAGGAGACAAATGAGAGAAAGTAAAATGAACACAGGAGACAATTTATTTAACATGGGTTGACCATTGTTAGAGGACCGGTGAGCTATCCACGTATTAAGGCCCAACTTGAACTGACCTAAATCGTAACTAAAAGTGGTCTGGTCCTTGAATGGAGTCCACAATCACCAAACTCACATGTCCTCCTTTCACTCATCTCCATGTTGTCATCGCCACCGCTCCGCCGCCCCTTCTCCACCGCAAACCAATCGCCTGACCGGCCAAATCCTCGCCGCCGTCATTCAAAACAGACCTCTCGACTCCGCTCCTACCCAACACAACCAAACCCGCATCTGGACATCAGTCCTGAGACCAATCCCTCTACACCTCTTCCAGTCGCCGAGATCCATCGGCCGCCAGAAAACCCACCGCCACCGCTCCCCCATCCATCAGCGAAACCTCAAGCAAGAAACAACCAATCGCAAAACAAGCTCCCTAATCCTCGGCCCACAGAGACCCCAAGCTCCTGAATCTCGGCCTCGAGAAGGCGCTCGAGTTCTTGTACTGGGTCGAGAACCGGTTCGACTTCCGGCACGATGAGCGGACCTGCCGCGAGATGGCGATCATCCTCGCCAAAGGCAGTCGAATGAACCTTCTCTGGGATTTCCTCAAGAACATGTTGAGGTGGCGACACGAGAATCGCGACCTCGTCACCACCTCCATCATGTCCTGCCTCGTCAAAACCCTAGGCGATGAAGGCCTAGCGAACTTGCCTCGTCAAAAGCCTAGGCAACGAAGGCCTAGCGAACCAAGCCCTCTCCGCCTTCTACAAGGTGAAGCAATTCCACTGCTCGCCGGACGTCCGAGCCTACAACACGGTAATTCAAGCTCTCTGCAGAGTCAATTTCTTCAAAAGGGCAAAATCCATCTTCGAGCAGATGAAGCTGCCCGGATTTAGATGCCCGCCGGACATCTTCACCTACACGATCCTTATCAGCTCCTACTGCCGCCACGCGCTGGCCACCGCCTCCCGGAAAGCCATCCGGCGGCGGGTTTGGGAGGCAAACCATCTATTTCGGCTTATGCTTTTCCGGGGATTCTCGCCGGACGTGGTGACCTATAATTGCTTGATCAACGAGTGTTGTAAGACGAACAGGTGCACTGGAGCTGTTCGACGAAATGTGTGAAACAGAATGTGAACCTAACCGAGTTACTTGCAACTGATTCATAAGGTATTTTAGTGTTGTGAATGAGGTTGACCGGGCAAATGAGATGTTGAGGATGATGAAGGACAGGAATCATGGGGTACCGAGTTCGAGCTCGTACTCGCCGATTATTCATGGTTTGTGTGAGGTCGGGAGGGTGGAGGAGGCGGTGGGTTTTCTGGCGGAGTTGGTGGAGGGAGGTTCGGTTCCGAGAGAGTATACGTATGAGTTGGTTCGTGGGGTTTTGGAGGCAGAAGGGAAAATGGGTTTGTTGGATAAAGGGTTGTGTGGGGAGATTGAAGATGGTATTGAGGAGAGGATTAGATGTGTGATGAAGGTGAAATGTAGTTTGAGGCGGGAAAGGAGTGTAACGGCCGGTGAGGGTTGTGGATAGTTTTTCGGTTAGCCGGTGTTTTTTTTTTCTCTCTTTTGAAGGAGAGATTTTCCGGTTGTTTGTGTAGAAGGAGATGAATTTTCGGTCTCGAGGAAGAGGAAAGAAGCTAAAGTGTGTGGTCTTATGTATACTTTGTGATGATTATTTGTTCACAGTCCTTTGTCATTAAATTTTGGTGTGTTCCTTTGTTCTTGCCTTCTTGGGTATAATAGCTTCACTAGATGGAAGCTTATTTAATGGAACATTGTGTTGAGTAGTGAAAATAAGAGCTTTTCTTTTTCTAAAGATCAAGATAATTTGTTTCACACTATTGGCAAAGCCTCAAGATCGTAGCTCAAGTTACAATCGATCAACTCCATAAACCGTTGTGAGAAATTGAGATGCATCCATTTTTCATCATCTCGACGAATACCAAAACCTGTATTGGGCAAAAAAGTGGACGAAAATCGTGGAGCCAAATTCTTATTTCAGAGAAAGGAAAAGAAACCAATCCTTGACTAAGCAAAACTCAATTCTTGAGCTGACTCTCTTTCTGGATCCAAAGAATCATCAAGGAAGGATTTTTCGGCGCCGGCATGGAGTCTCTCTCTTGATGAACATCTTCTCAAACTCATTAAGAAGGCGAGTCAAGCCATCGGCTTCACTCACAAACTCTTTCACCCGCCACCACCACCACGCTTTCCCTGTTTACCTAATTTCTCTACCGTGAAATTCCAGCCTTCGTCTGGACGCTTTCGGCTGTACTTGTGGCATTTCACCTTCTTCGCCATCTAAATAAAATATGATACAAAAAACGACCGCATCAAATCACATAATCTTCTCTCTCTCTTTCGTAATTTTTCATAATTACAGATAGGGTATTAGTATTTATTACCTTCATCTTGTTGAAGTTCATTCTCCGGACAAATTCTTAGTACAATATCTCATCCCCTCTCATTGAGATCTCGTAGTGCACTTCGTCTGGGTCGCAGGTGGTGCCATCCCAACCAGGGGCGGACCGACACTAAGGCGAGCCTGAACAGTTGCCCAGGCTCAATTTTGGCTGCTAAAGATAGGTTATTATATTTTTTAATTGAACTTTCTTGTGAAAATGGCAAAACAGATTGACAGAGCCTTATGCGACGTAAGGAAGAAGATGTCTGGTATGATTTATTTTTCTTTTTTTTTTATGATTCTATAAAACGACGTCGTTTTGGTTTTCACTTAATTAAAAATTTGGAAGCCAAACGACGTCGTTTAACTTAAAAGGCAAAAAAAAAATAAAAATTATTAAGTATGTTCTGTCCAGGTTCAACCCCTACACACGCACAACAAAGAAAAAGGCATAAACCTTCACAGTATCTTAGATCCCCATTGCAAACACCCCGCTACTAGGGCCAATTTTTTGCAAATTTTTAACTCTTTCGAAAACGCTTATAAATTTTTCGAAACCATTTGCAAACTATCTCGGGATGCTGCTAAGGACTTTTCTGCTTAAAAACTCGTTTCTTTAACCTAGGTCTAACGACTAGTTTAGACTTAAAGAAATCAGGTTCATATTTTTAACGAAACATGCATATTAGTCTGGACCCGTTCGTACTGGCGAACCGGGTTAAATTATTTAAGTCTGAAAATAACGTCATGCATGTTCGAAAATAATCACATCAAAGCGGAAGTCTAAAAGTGCGTGGAATTATTTAGTTATACAAAACGATAACAAATGTCCCGGGAACAGCTTTTGTGTGGAACTCACGACCACCACCACCACAACTCGTCTCACGCCTGCCCGCCGACCTTGCCATCTGAAAATATGAAGTGGGGGTGAGTACGATCCACTTGTACTCCATAAAAACTCATTCTAAAGTAAACAACAATGATAATAATGATATCACTGTACTGGTATGTATAAGTAAACTGAAATCTCCCGGACACTGCGGCCGGTAACTCCCGGACACTGCGGCCGGTAACTCCCGGACACTGCGGCCGGTAACTTCCGGACACTCTGGCCGGTAACTGAAATCTCCCGAACACTCTGGCCGGTACCGTGTGCACACTCAGATGGCATATTTAAGGCTAACTGGGCCACCACCAGAACTTATGGAAGGACAACTCTGCGGATAAAACTCATACACATACCTGAACATGATATCGACTATTATACTCAATGTATAACCCAGTTTGGGTCACCACCTGATCTGCTTTGAAAAATGGGTAAGTGCGGCTGTGCTGGTAGCTGACTCCTCAAGCTACATAAAAATATAAGCAAACAAATATACTAAGTACTATGCTCGTCATATGCTCAATAATATGCTAGAATGCTCTATTCTATCAGATTACTCATCCGGACATAAAGGAACTCTCTATGTGTTCACTAAAATAATTCTAAGTCCGGAAAATAGACTGATGTGCTCAACTGATCTGGTTTGGCTCGGAAAATTACTTAAATTTCGGTATAAGACTCGGACCGAAAATCACGAACCAAAACTGACTCGAACCGCCGGCTAAACTGGCCGGTTCGTTCACTAACTGAACCGGGTCGGGCCGAACCGGACCGGGTCGGACCACCGGTTCACTCTGGACCGGGTGGTCACGGGCTGCTCTGGCTGGCCGGGCCGTGCCGGG